ATCATTAAAATTTATGAATTAACTTTATTGGCTAGAGAGGTTGACAATTTTTCATGTGTTTTTGGCCATTTGAATTTCTTCTTTTGAGAAAGTTCTGTTTAGTTCACTTGCCCATTTCTTTATTGGTTCATTAGTTTTGGGAGAATTTAGTTTTTTAAGTTCCCTATATATTCTGGTTATCAGTCCTTTGTCTGATGTGTAGCTGGCAAATATTTTCTCCCACTCTGTGGGTGTTCTCTTCAGTTTAGAGACCATTTCTTTTTGATGAACAGAAGCTTTTTAGTTTTATGAGGTCCCATTTATCTATGCTATCTCTTAGTTGCTGTGCTGCTGGGGTTTCATTGAGAAAGTTCTTACCTATACCTACTAACTCCAGAGTATTTCCTACTCTTTCCTGTATCAACTTTAGAGTTTGGGGTCTGATATTAAGATCCTTGATCCATTTTGAGTTAATCTTGGTATAGGGTGATATACATGGATCTAGTTTCAGTTTTTTGCAGACTGCTAACCAGTTTTCCCAGCAGTTTTTGTTGAAGAGGCTGCTATTTCTCCATCGTATATTTTTAGCTCCTTTGTCAAAGACAAGTTGGTTATAGTTGTGTGGCTTCATATCTGGGTCCTCTATTCTGTTCCACTGGTCTTCATGTCTGTTTTTGTGCCAGTACCATGCTGTTTTTATTGTTATTGCTTTGTAATATAGTTTGAAGTCAGGTATTGTGATACCTCCTGCATTGTTCTTTTGACTGAGTATTGCCTTGGCTATTCGTGGCCTCTTGTGTTTCCATATAAATTTAACAGAAGATTTTTCAATCTCTTTAATGAATGTCATTGGAATTTTGATGGGAATTGCATTAAACATGTAGATTACTTTTGGGAGTATCGACATTTTTACTATGTTGATTCTACCAATCCATGAGCATGGGAGATCTCTCCACTTTCTATAGTCTTCCTCAATCTCTTTCTTCAGAAGTGTATAGTTTTCCTTGTAGAGGTCTTTCACATCTTTAGTTAGGTTTACACCTAGGTATTTGATTTTTTTGAGGCTATTGTAAATGGAATTGTTTTCATAACTTCTTTCTCAGTTTGCTTATTGTTAGTGTATAGAAATGCTAATGATTTTTCTATGTTGATTTTATATCCTGCTACCTTGCTATAGCTATTGATGATGTCTAGAAGCTTCTGAGTAGAGTTTTTTGGGTCTTTAAGGTATAGGATCATGTCGTCTGCAAATAGGGATATTTTGACAGTTTCTTTACCTACTTGTATTCCTTTTATTCCTTCTTCTTGTCTAATTGCTCTGGCTAGGAATTCCAGTACTATGTTGAATAGGAGTGGAGATAGTGGGCATCCTTGTCTGGTTCCTGATTTTAGAGGGAATGGTTTCAGTTTTTCTCCATTAAGTATAATGCTGGCTGTAGGTTTGTCATATATAGCTTTTATAATGTTGAGGACTTTCCTTCTATTCCTAGTTTTCTTAGAGCTTTTATCATGAAATGGTGTTGGATCTTATCAAAGGCTTTTTCTGCATCTATTGAGATGATCAAGTGGTTTTTGTCTTTGCTTCTGTTAATGTGGTTTATTACATTTATTGATTTTTGTATGTTGAACCACCCCTGCATCCCTGGGATGAAGCCTACTTGGTCGTGATGAATAATCTTTTTGATGTGTTGCTAAATTCAGTTTGCCATTTTATCATTCGCTGGTAAATGAATGGAATTGGAGAACATCATTCTGAGTGAGGTTAGCCTGGGCCAAAAGACAAAAATCGTAATGTTCTCCTCATATGTGGACATTAGAATCAAGGGCAAACCACAACAAATGGGATAGACTTGAGCACATGATAAAAGCGAGAGCACACAGGGAGGGGTGAGGATAGGTAAGACACCTAAAAAATTAGCTAGCATTTGTTGCCCTTAATGCAGAGAAACTAAAGCAGATACCTTAAAAGCAACTGAGGCCAATAGGAAAAGGGGAACAGGTACTAGAGAAAAGGTTAGATCAAAAGAAATTAACCTAGAAGGTAACACCCACGCAACAGGAAATCAATGTGAGTCAATGCCTGTATAGCTATCCTTATCTTCAACCAGCAAAAACCCTTGTTCCTTCCTATTATGCTTATACTCTCTCTACAACAAAATTTAGAAATAAGGGCAAAATAGTTTCTGCTTGGGTATTGAGGGGTGGGGGGAGAGAGGAGGGGGCGGAGTGGGTGGTAAGGGAGGGGTGGGGGCAGGGGGAGAAAATGACCCAAGCCTTGTATGCACATATGAATAATAAAAGAAAAAAAAATTTAAAAAAAAGGAAAAAGTAAAGACACAAAACATTAACAATAAAAAAAAATTTATGATACTACTACACTAGGTATTATGTGAGCATCTCAGTAATTGTTTTTTCTTCATGATTTGCTCATTTCATCTAAATTTTGAGTTTTACTAGGTAGTTAAAAGCAGAATTTAACAGCAAAATCTTACCCACAATGAACTAGAAAACAATTCATATTTCTCATTTTTTGGGGGCAGTACTAGGGTTTTAACTCAAGGCCTTGTGCTTTGCTGGGGAGGTGTTCCACCTCTTGAGCTACACTCTCAGTCTTAAATTCATATTTCTGACATTACTAGGATGAAATGAACTAGAAATTAAACTCATTATTACAAAAAACTTTTAGTATATGTCCTGAAAAAGAATATTACTTTTATACTTTTCCATAGTATTTCTTTGTAATATGAATACTGAGAACAATGAAGCTGAGAAACCAAAATACCTCTAGTCATAAAAACCTGTTCTAAGGCAGCAAAAGGGGACTAGAAGATTTTAAAATGACTATATTAAAAAAAATTGTTGAGGTTCTAGGTAAGCCTGGCAGGGTTCCAAGCTCCTCCCTGATCTACCTCATGTTGTCCTGGGGGAAAGTCTGCTGTGGGGACCTGTTATTTCCCCATTAGTAACAGCAGGAGAGCAAGAATGGCGGAGGTGCTTCCAGAGAGTGAAATATCACCAGTGGAATCACACCAGCAACAGCTGTCTCAGTCAGATCCACCTTCATCACCAAACTCATGTAGTTCCCTTGAGCTAATATACATGGATGCCAGCAGTCTGTATAAACCAGTTTTTCTACATTGCTTTTGTTAGAACAGATTGTAAGGATACATGGTTTCCTTTCAACTGAGTATTCACAGCAGCTAGAAGAGGCGTATCACTATGAAAAAGATTGTAATGGAAGTTTTTCCCATTGATGGAGGCAGATATGTACATCTGGGGAAGAGGATAAGGTAAGCTGTAGACTGGGAGGAACTAGCATCAGAAGGGAGACAAAGAATAAACATGTTCCTACTCAGCTTCAGCAAAGTGTTACAGAAAGCTTACATGGTTGCTGAAACTTGGGATGAGTGGAAAAAAACTGGAGTCTCCCAAAAGACAAATCACATTACTTAATTGAAAACTTATGGTTCATTACCAAGTGCAGGGTCTGATGAATGGGGTTCAACACTCACTGTGAAGAGAAGAGCTGAGAAATTTCTGTTGACATTCATTGTGGGAAACCCCTACAAACAGATCACTTGGCTTTTAGTTCATGGGGTTGGAATAGCTTGCGATACCCACTTTTCAAACATTAATTATACAGTGTGTTAATGATTTTCATGGTGTTTCCTTGAACTTGCTAGAGACCTGTTTTAAGAAAGCCCAAGAATACTAGCTGCTTGGGAAGTGAGGATCGGGAATATCAGGCAAAAAGCAAGACCCTACCTGAAAATAAACCAAAGCAAAAAGGATAGGATATGGCTCAAGTGGCAGAGCACCTGCCCAGAAAGTGTAAAGCCCTGAGTTCAAACCCCAGTGCTACCAAAGTGGGAGAAAAGAAAAGAAAAGAAAGCCCAAGAAAAGCAGCAGATTGGAAGAGTAGAAATTTTTTCAGCCTTCAGCACAGTCCTTTACATTCTATTAGGGTGGATGTAGATCTGTTTCAGATAACCCCACCCAGTACTAACTGCCTCAGGCACTTCACTAATGATACAATTCTAGATTGTATCACAATTCTGTCAGACAATTGTGGACACAGGAGCTTCTGAGATGAACTGAAATACATAGATTTCAAAGGGGATGTATCCACTGCTGATCATAGTTTAGGTTTAGTTACATTGTTTGATATCCTAACAAATACGAAAGATTGTTTGCGGAAAGTGACAATGAAAAGGGGTCACTAAATATACTTATGGATTAAGGACATACAACAACCGCAGAGGAAGATTTGAATAAACTTTAACACTGTGAATTCTTTCATCTCTTTGAGAAAGAGAAAGTAGGTAAGGAAGCTTTGACTATTTGTGCAGACAGAGATCTTCAGGAAATGGGAGTTCTCCAATGACCAACAAAGAAGTTACTAAACTATTACAGGATCTGAAAAAACTCAATAGGTCAATCACACAGCTTCAGAGGTGAACATCCTCAAAGAATCTGGATTCTGCAGTAGTAATGATGGTACTAACAACAGCCAATATGCAGAGGCTGGCATTGGGCAGGTATCTATGAAATACCCCTGGTCATTTGTAAACCAGAAATATGCTTTGCCTTTGGATCTCTCATTGGAATGTTCCCTACTAACCAATGAATAAAAAGAATTGATCCCAATTACAAATTTCAAACACACAAAAGTTTCTTCAGTATTTTTCATTCTTTTGATCATGTAGCTTACTGGATTGAACCAATGGTGGTCCTAGGAATAGAATGTGAGCTAATGCTGACCCCATGTTATAAAGGCAGTATGTGGATATACTTAAAACTGACAGAAGGCTTGACCAGGATGAGACCTTAAGAACAATTTGCTAAAGAAGTTCAGTGATGTTAACATAGAAGAGATTCCTGTAGCTGATCAATGTGAGAATACTAACAGAGGCCAACACATTGACCATGTGCTGCAGGAGAAACCCCTTCAAAGTTTTAATGAATATTTGCTTTACAGTCATCTATGCTACTGGGATTCTATACATACAGTACTGCTGGTCCTTTAAGATATCTACCAAACTGAGGCTTCTTACCTGATCAGTCCTTCTTACCTGACCCATCTATGGTTGCTTAATGTAAGCTTTCAATATCATGTACACAGTATAGCACTTACATGTTTATGTTACAAGAAATGATGGAGCATCAAGTTCTTTACAAATATACCTTTCTGCTGCCTCTTAAAAACAAGTCACCCAAAATTGAAGTAGACTGTTCTGAACTGAGTGAGCTAAAGTTCAAGATTTTATAGTAGTTGGTTGAATACTAGATTTCTATAAGACCAAATAGGATACTTACTGCCCTCCTCTTTCTACAAGTGTCTGGCACAGGTATTTTCTTGCATTCCTGTGAGTTGGACAGTTTTCTAATGCAAGCTCAAAATCTTCTATTGCTTTGTTCAAACTTCCTTTTGTTGCGTATCTAAAGACATTAAGTAAAATTAGAGAAATGTACTCTTATGAGCTACTTATCTTTCCCACTTTTAGCTTGTTAAGCATTTATTAGAATTCGCAATTCACTTACAATGCTCCACGAGCTACCAAGGCTTCCACATTCTGTTTGTCTATTTCGAGAGCTTTATTGTACTCATTCATGGCATCCACATGGCGTCCAATCTTAAAATAATCAACTCCAATCTTCACACTAAGAAATACATTTGTAAAGCATCACAAACTATCCAAAAAGTGTTAGTGTAAATTTAAAAAAAAACATTATTAGCATATATTTGTTGTACAGAGGGGTTTCATTATGATATTTACTATATACATACTTACAATGTACCTTGGTTAGATTCATCCTCCATCATTCTCCCTCTTCCCCTTAAAACAGTGTGAATGTATTTTAAAAACAAATGTCTTTAAATGTTGTAAATACTGACTTTTCGACATATCTCAAAAAAAAAAAAACCTAAGATATTTTCATAACAAATTTTTATGAAATATATTAATAAACTAATTGTTTGGAAAAACATTGCAACTCTAGACAAAACTTAAGTATGGTAAATTATCAATGTAAAACCTAGAAAAATGTCAAAAACCCTTTATTTCAATTCATTTATTAAGACTCTGGTCTCAATGATAATATAAGAACATTTGGCTTACCCTAACCTTTAGACTAGACAATGCAAATGTTGAAACAAAACAATCTTCATACCATTTTAAAGCCCAAGATGCAGACTGTTTTTTTCTTAATGCAGAAGCAAAATCATCCTCAGAGAAATTTTTGCTATCAAAGAAAACAAAAATCAATCTGTAAATATTTTTAAATAATCATCACTCTAATAGTTAGGTACTCTACAATAAAAGAGTGAATCATAAGCAACAAATTTATATCCATTTACATAGCAAAATCCTTGAGCTGTCAAAAGTATTATTGTGAAGTAGTACTTTTCTTAAGCATACACACAAAATTCTGATATGAAGTTTCTGCACCCTTCTTAACTTGGTCACATGGTCGAATTACTGGCAAGAGTCCATTCAGAAGGAGATGGAACCATCCTGGTCCTTCAACCTTTGACATATTCCCATGGCTACAGTCAAGTATGTTTTTTATCTATGTTGGTAGCTGAACTTAGCACTATTCTCCTCACCCTCTAACAGAATAACACAGATCTACTATACCTTTGTAGGCCTCTCATTAAAGATGGTGGATTAGATTCATCTATTCCTAGTTTTTCCAGGAGGAACTCAACTACTCCTGGATTAACAAATCCCAGGGAATTTTGCATGATATTTTCGTAAGAGTCCAAAGAATTGCTATTCAATTCAACACTCCTCCTTGGAAAAACAAAAAACAAACAAAAACACAAAACTGTAATCGAATGACTAAAGTAACTAGCACATTTCCATTAATAAATGACATTATTACATGAGATTTTAATACTAACGCCATTTTTGTACAGGAAGGTGTAGCACTACTATGATATACTTCCTTCTACCAAGTCTATAGTAATTTAAGAGTTATAAAGTAAAATGAACACATTTTAAAATCAAAAAAGTTAAAATCCCACTTTATTGTCAGAAGTTTAACAAAACTTGCTATTATAATTCAAGAAACTTGTGAAGGATGAATACCTGTAGTACAAAGGAAGCTCTTCAGAAGTAATTACACCTAACTTAATGTTAGATAGGTGTGGTGGAAGAGATGAACTATACAGAGAAACCGCCAGCTTTTCATGGTATCTGTCAATATCCTTGATTCCAGCTTTAAAAAAAAATTAGCTGGTTAATAAGAAAATGTAAATTAACATAAAAATACATAAAAGTTTTTAAGCATTATTCTCATTAGATTACATTTTCAAAGTTAACTAAAAATTTTAACTGTTACTTTTGAATTAGTATGATGAAGCTGATCACCTCGAATGATGTCACCAGTTTGGTAATATGATAAAGGATCCCCATGGTTACTGTGAGAAGGCACATCTCTTAATGGACAAAGAGCCTGCAATGAGAAGTATTTGAAAACATCACACTTCACTCTTTGGCAAGAGTAGTGTCTTCTTTTATCTCTGGATTCCTCTCCAGTTCTTCAGAAAATATATAATAGGTTGTTGTAAACAACCTATTTTGATACTTGTTACCCAACTTCCATATATCCATCATCTTACCAGCCTCTGATAACCACTATTCTACTCTCTTTTTTGAGGTCGTTTTAGTTTCCCAATATGAATAAGAACATGCATTACTTTTCTTTCTTTTTTTTTTTTTGTAGTGTTTTCTTTCTTTTCTACTTTTCATCATTTTTACATTTACTAATATGTATATACATTGTTTGTGCCACCTCCCTTCCCTCACTCCCGTCTTTCTTTATCTTGCTTATTTCACTTAATGTAATGTTCTCTAGTTCCATCCATTTTGCCACAATTGATAGGATTTCATCCTTTTTTCCATGGCTGAATATTTCATTGTGTATGCATACCACAGTTCCTTTATCCATCTATCTGCTTATGTACACATTGGTTAAATGAAAGTTTAAATTTAAGAAGCTTAGGCACAAGTAATACCTGTGTTCAACACAGTAAAACTTGTTTTCTGGTACAGTTAAATAATTAAAATATCATGAAACTTTTCCATTAGTTTTAGGAACCAAATATGGATTATAAAACAAAAAGATATTTTCCACTTGTCAAAATTAAAACTAAAATTTGTCCAGAAATACAGGGATTCCAATGAAAATGAAATGTTCATTCTCCAAAGTTCTGCTTTTCTTCCTTTTTATCTACCTAAACAAACAACTATGAAACATTTTAAAGTGGCACATTATTGATGACAGGCAAATTTTTTCTGAATTATCCATATTCAAGTATTTGATGCTAAATATTAAACAGTATGTTCAACTAGAATATATAAATCCAGAATACCAATCAACTTCACCATGTCTATTAATACAGCTTTGAGCATGTACAAAAGGAAGTGCCTCTGAAGCCAGTCTGAAAAACCCCAAAAACAAAAATCGAGGAAGAAACTAATCTTTCTTTCTTATTTTTTTTTTTTTAAGAGAAAGCTACTTTTTCTCCAATTTAACTCCCAAAAGTATCTCAGCAGGTATACTTAAAACACAACTGGATGCAAGCATGGGATGACTGTTAAAAACTCATATAACTAAAAATCGAGTGACGTACTGTGATTTCTAAGTGAGATATGTCTCTCATGATGCCACTTCCTAAACAGATTAGCACCATGAAAAAACCGAATTCCCGAATGGAACTAATTCTTCCAATCACTATATCACCACGCTCAATATCTCGGAAAAACAGCTCTCTCCGGTCCATACTGGGTATCTCCATGAACTGCTCTAAAGGTGGCATGACTGCATAATGATCTGAAAAAAAAAAAATATTAAGATCATTTAAGACAGTGTTGACTTCCCTTCAACAGTTGACAGTGTTGCTTCAGATGAAGCTGTACTTCATCAGAAGTACTGCTAAGCCACACCGCCAATCTCAAAAAGATTCAAGACAAAACTCACCTTCATTGTCTTCATTAACTTCAGAAGTCGCAGGTGCATCAGACTTCCAGGCAAGGGTAAAAAGCAGATCCGCTTTTTTGGAGATAAATTTCTGTATTTCGATGTTGTCGACTTTCTTCTCTTTTCTAGGGAAAAAAAAAAAAAGGAGAGAGGAAAGAAAATTTATGAAAACTGGTTACCTGCAAAGCTCTTTATGTCTACACTTGTTCTGTGGCACCCATCGCCCAACCCACTGCACGCTCCAGGTTGTCCACACTGGGAGAAAGTTTTCTCCAGGCATTTTCTGCAGGCGGAGGGCGGGGAAACTGGTAAAGCGACGTCTCCAGCGTTAGACACGAAAGCCCACGGGACTCTAGCTCAGGGACCGGCGCCAGGTTCCCGCTGAGCAGTGCAGAAAAAGTTGGGCCCAAAGACCGCACTGCACACACACCTGGGCACCCTCCCTCCTCCTCCTCCTCCTCCTCCACGCAGCCCTCCGCCCCTCCCCCGTCCCGCAGCCGTCTCCTTACCTGCCCTGTAAATGCTGCTGCGGCGGCGTGGGACCACGGGCGGGCTCGGACGCCGAGCCCAAGAGGCTCCGGAAGTGCGGGTTGTCCTGCTGTTCGCTCCGGAGAAGGGACAACAGGGACGGCCCGTGGCAATTCAGCGACTGCCGCAGAAGGTCTCGGTCCATGACTAAAGACTGAGGGGCCCGGAGGGCTGCTGTGCCCGAGCGGGGCCGGGCCCATACGGCCAGCCC